AGAGATTGGGATACACTGAAGTCGGCGCTGCGAGAGGTGTTTGGTACCTCAGTATCTGCAGCCGAGGTACATCGAACTCTTAGGAACCGCAGGCTGCGTCCACGAGAAGATCCTCGCGAATACTTATACGTTATGATGGAGATCGGAAAAGCAATACAACTAGACGGCTCTGGCTTAGTCGAATATTTTATAGAGGGGATACCCGACTCCAGAGAGCACAAGAGCAACCTGTACCAGGCCAAAAGCATCAAGGATTTGAAGGAGCAAGTCAAAGTCTACGAAAGAATACGGATCAATAAGCCCTCTTCGTCGAACTCGAACCTGGGGTCGAATCGTCACAGTCGTGAACGAGACGACAATCGTACGATCAATAATTTCGTCATTCGATCATCGAATGCACATTATCGGATGATTACAATCGAAAGCTGACGAGTCGTAATTGAATGTTTGTTTATCGATTACTTTTATCTTCTTCCTATTGGGCAGTAACAATAGACGTTGAAATGTCAAAATAAGTGAACCAAAAATAAAAAATAAACTGCAAAACAAGATGGATCCAAGTTTTTTGTTTTATCTTAGCTCAAGCGACAGCGAAACGGATGAAAAAATTGTGCGCAAACAGTTGCGGGACAAAAGCGACCCGCTGGCTTTATCAAATAATGCGTAAGCACTATAAATGTAGTAAATGAGACAGTCATCTAAATTTTTAATTTTGCAGATTCATCAAGCGATTTCGGCTTAACAAGGAAGCATTCCAACATGTCCTCAAAAAAATTGATTTTTTGAGCCATGACACCAAAGCCGCTCCACCAGTCCTGCAATTAGCTGCTAGTCTTTCTCTTCTTGGTAGTGGCAGCTACCAACACACGGTTGGAAGTGACTACTTAATCGGAATGTGCCAGAGTACAGTGTCCAAATTAACTTCCCATGTTCTTTTGGAAATGGAGAATAAGCTATGCCCGGAATTTATAAAATTTGATGTGGACAACTCGCAAACATGTAAGGAGTGGTTTATGGAGAACTACAGAATACCCGGAGGTAAATGAAAACCAATGCACCTAAATATAAACACTTTTATGTATGTAGATATGTGCATATATTGAATTTATGTACATCAACCTTTTTTGTATCATTTTAGTTATCGGATGTATAGATGGGACACACATAGGTTTGCAGAAGCCAACCCAAAATGAACATATGTACTTCAATAGGAAGGGCTTCCATAGTCTTAACGCTATGATAATAAGTTTTTCATACAAAATATTAAATATTTGTTAACTAATACACATTTATTTGTATGCATACTTCCAAAGATTTGTGACCACACATACAAAATTCTAGCAATCAATTGCCAATATGGAGGAGCAGCGCATGATTCGTTTGTGTGGAAAAACTCAAATCAAAGGAGGGTTTTGGAAGAGCGATTTCAACGGAATAGGAATGAGAATTCGTGGCTACTTGGTTATTATTATTATTATTATTATTATTATTATAACATCTCATATGTACAGTAAGACGCAGGGTCTTTTCGTTGTACGCAAATTAATATATAAATTTCAAAACTTTTAACTTAATCTTACAAGTACTAAAATAAGTATAAAATACAAAAATTATAGGGTAAGAAAGTAAAATAACAAATTAGTTGATGGGGTAATAGGATAGTAAACATAGATAAACATAGATGAGGGGAATAGAGGGAGGATATTACACATATAGGTTTGTAACTGCCATTTTGAAGCAACCAATCGATGTTATGCATTTAATTGAAATTGGTAGTGAGTTCCAAATTCTTATAGCACTAACAAAAAACAATCTAGACGCCGTTAAAGTTTTGTACTTTGGGACAACAATATTGTGTGTACGAGATGATTTCACAAAAACTAATTTCCGGAAAAGATAACCAGGTTGACGGTTTCTAATTAATTTGAATAGATACACCAAATTGCGGACTTTGAGGTAATTATCAAGGGTGAGCCCAAGAATATTTTTAGTATACAATGATATGTGGTCAAACTTCTTTTTAGAATAAATGAACCTAGCCACGTTATTTAAAACTAGATTTAATTTATTCTTAGAATCGTAGCTTAGATTGCCATAGACCAGTTCAAAATAGGAAATATGGGGAACGATGAGGGACTTAACTAGTTTGAGTTTTGTGTTAATCGGCAGACAATAGCATATATGCCATAGATTTCTTAACATAAAATATATTTTTGATATACTATAACGTATGTGAGCCGTGCAAGTTAAGCGGGAATTCATTTTAATACCAAGATTAGTTACAGCATATTCAAATTTTAGTTCCATCTCGTTCAAAATAATTGGTGATATGCTACTGAGATCAAAAGGAACGCACGAAATCGGAAGTACCTGCGTTTTTGTGGCATTTAAAGAGAGGCCATTCATGGTGGCCCAGACTTCAATTCTTTTCAGGTCCTCATTTAATCTGGCCACCAAGTCTTCGGCAAGACCTATGGGACGTGAAAGGTACATCTGCGTATCATCAGCATATAGGTGAATGGAAGAGTTTTGGCAGCATTGAACAATGTCATTTATAAAAAATACTGAAAAGTATGGGGCCCAAAATGGAGCCTTGAGGTACCCCACAGGTAATTTCTCGGCGATGTGAGAAGATATCTCCACACTGGACTTGCTGTGACCTGTTCGAGAGGTAGTCTTTTATAAGCTTAAGTGCACTGGGGTTGAACCCGAAATAATTTTTCAATTTCAAAAGAAGAATATCATGGTTTACCATGTCAAAAGCTTTGGAAAAATCTAAGAGTACTAAAATTGTGAGCAGCTTACTGTCGAAAGCGGGGCGGATGTCGTCCATAATCTTTAACACGGCTGTGGAACAACTATGGTTGGATCTAAACCCAGACTGGAGTTCGCTCAATAAATTAAATTTGTTCATATGTGACACTATCTGAGCGGAAATAAACTTTTCGAAAACTTTCGCCAACATTGGTAAAATACTGATGGGTCTAAAGTTTTGGGGAGAGTTACAAGAGTTGCTTTTTGGGACCGGAATCACGTTAGCAATCTTCCATTGCTTTGGAAAGGTAGAGGAAGCTAAGGCAAAGTTAAAAATGTGTGTAAGTGTAGGAAGCACGTACGGGAGGATAAGTTTTAAAAAACGCAGGCTAAGACCATCCACACCAATGGCGTTCGATTTTATTGCAAGAATGCACTTTGCAATATCGTCTTCAGTGGCTGCATCGAATACAAACTCGAAAGCAGGATTACAAACTAGTTTTTCATTAATGCTGAAAGGTGGTGCATTCGGATGTGAATTAACGCCAACGAAGTATGAGTTCATTAAATCAGCATCTATTATACAGGTTTTCACATCCTTGGCGCAGACACCCAGTGACTTCAGATTTTTCCACAACACCTTGGAAGGCATGTTGGAATTAAGTTTTGCATCGAGATAGGCTTTTTTACTATTACGCAAAGCAGATGTTACTTTGTTTCGCAAGTTTTTATATGTGCTCCAGCGTTCATTGGTGGGATTACGCTTCCAGGATCTATAAGCCCTACATCGCTCTTTGATAAGGACTAAAATGGCTTTAGTGAACCAAGGCTTTTTATGATCAATTGTTTTAATACTGCGAATAGGGACATATTTATCAAATAAGTATTGTACTAGCGTTGTAAAATAGGCTAATTTGTCGTCAACATTTGCAAAGTACCAGCAGCAGTTCCAGTTAAGTGAGACACTTTCGCCATATAATGCAGATGTGTTTACATTCTTGAAATCTCTAAAGGTAAAATTTGTTAAAGGCTTCGTTTTGTGAAATTCAAAGTCAAAAAATATTATCATTAGCTCGTGGTCAGAAACTCCAGCCAGGGAAAATTGATCAACATGACTTACACTACTACCAACGCTTACACCAAAAAGATCCAACATACTTGGCTTACAGTGGGGCGCAAACCGAGTTGCATATTCGTTTGTGATAGTAATACCACAGGTGTTAAAGCTGTTCAATAGCTGATTAGATCTTTCGTTATTAGCTAACATATCAACGTTGAAGTCACCACAGATGAGAACATGAACATAGCTCAAGGACAATTCAGAGATTTTAGCAAACAATGAGGTGAGATCATTTGATTTATGGGGGTTATATACACATATAATAAGACACTTCCGTATGTTATCACAACATTCAACAAACATGCTTTCAACAGCTTCATGGGAGTGAGATTTATAAATGACTCTAAAGTTGAGATCGGCTCTGTGATAGATCGCTATGCCCCCCCCTCTGTTACCAGTAGTTCTATCATTCCTCACAATTGAATAGTCACACAGAGTATATGCGCTATTCGCAAAAGAAGGCTTAAACCAGGTCTCAGTCACACAGATTGCGTCAATGTTTAGATCACGAAAAGTTAAATTAAGATACTCAAGTTTTTCAGCTGTTAAACTTCGAGCATTGAAGTGGCACACATTGAACCCTGTATGGTAGTCACACACATATTTAAGAGCTAGTCTTAGATTATCATTGTTATTGTGCTCACTCAGGTTGTTACTCATATCTATGCAATAAAAGAGATGCTTGCAAACGGT